GGGGGGTCCCAGGAGGTGACGTCACCTGCTCTGACCAGCTGGTGCCGCCCCGCGCCTCACTCGCGACAAGGACACCTGGGCGCACCTGCTGTTCCGCGTTCGCGAGCAGCGATCCCAGCGAGTGAGCTTCGCGAATAATTAGCCTAAAGATTGCGGTCGGCGGAGCAAATTGCGAAATACAATACACCTGATGCAAAGGAGTTTAAGAGCGGAGCGAAAATGATATCTATCTGCGTACACCGCCGCCCAGCCGGGCATTTATGTCCTGACCCTGTGACGGGGCGGCGGCAGGTGGGGCTCAGCCCGCGAGAGCAGCTGATCACTCACATCTGGGTACTCCACGGAGCTGGCGGTGGTCCGGGACTTGACCTTCCGCGTCTTGGTTTCCGACGCGAGGACCGGCATTTTTGCACAACCGGGTAGCTTTTACAGCTTCTTGCACACTATCACTCTTTCACTAGGACAAGGACGGCGGAGAGTCGTTTTGTTTGTTTCGATAAAAAAATATAATGTTCGTTTCGATGCTCATCACGGAATCACTACCACTGCACTGCTTCACTTCACTACCGGCAGCGCACAGCGTCGCAACCGCTCACTATCACGACTCGGTCGGCTCGAATAAGCTCCTATCCGAAGCGCGGCAACGGTTGCTCCGTGATGGGTGTTATTTGCGTTTATCGCGCCAAACGTCTTGGCCAGAAGAGGTGCGCGTCGCTACTGGCGGCCCGGGACAGCGCGCTGTTTGTTCGCCTCGCCGCCCCCGACGGTGTCTCTCTCGCACCCGCTCTCGGCCACGGGCATTAAGCCCCCACCTCTTTTTCTTTCCAAAGTCAAGGTGCGGCCGGGAGTTAGTCGGACGGGGGGCGCCTACGTTCTGCTTCCACTGCCCTCGCCAATTCCGTATTCATTTTTATTTTTGCATTCTCATCTAAAGTGACTCTCGAGAAGCAGAAGGAACTTTGTGACCTGTCTCTAATCCAGGTGTACCTATGTGTATCGTCCAGAGAGTACGCCCGTTTTCCTCAGATTCATTCAATAAATGACGGGGATGACAGCGCCCGCGAGACTCGGGATAGGCATCCCCACAGTACACGAATGCACTGCAAGCACGATTTTGCCTGCCTATCAGGCGTTATGAGAGCTTCAGTATTGCAAACTCCCTTCGCTCGCACGGGCGCCATGCGGCCCCTGCCGCCCAAGACGATATGTGATCCCGCGACAAGCCAGCGCGTCCGCTCTGATGAACCCGGGTACATTAGCTTACCCCTACCACGCCACTCCGGCGTCACTCTTTTTTCTCGCCCCTCTTAACCTCCCCGTACAGCCCGCTCTCTTGCCCCTGGCTCTGTCACGTGATTGCTCGCCATTACACACGGTGACATAAAACACTGGCGTGAGAACGGCTAACGGCGCGCTCACCAGCATTCCCTCCGGTAGCGGCACTACTTGCTTCTCGCACTTTTTTTTCTCTAATTCACAGAGTGCGGCGAACTAAGCAAAAGCAATTGTCCGTCCGTCGTCGTTGGACATTCCCGGTTACACCTCGACACCTTCACACACAGTTACACACACACACACACTCTAAGCGCAAGAAGAGCGGGGTGTTTAACGTCACCGCCACGCGCATCTCGCGAGATGACCATGAAATAAGAACTTTACCACGTTGTAAAAGCCCATGAGCCATGTTTTGGCCCTATCCCGTCGCACGCAAGGGAAGTAGAGCCATGCGCGAGCAGCGGAGCCGCGGCTGCCGAACAAAACGACCCCGTTGGCCCGAGCACTTCACACATTTCTTTTATTTGCAGAGCTTTGCGGAGCGCGCCTCGCGGGGGTCGGCGAACTTCCCGTGCACAACCCCGCCCTCCCCCCGCCCCCCTCTCTCATTGTGGCGCGCGGCCCGCTCGATGTCGCCCAGGGGCCTAACTGCGAGAGAGAAGGGCTTGCATGCCATTAGCAACGGCGCACCGCACGGTGCACTGGCGGCGGGGGACGCTCGGCCTACGCAGTATCGCTCCGTATTCCACCTAATCGACGGCAACACGCCATTCTTCTTCTTCTTCTTCTTCTTCTTCTTCTTCTTCTTCTTCTGATTCTTCTTCTTCCATCCTCGAATCAATAATCATTACTGAGCAAGTGAAGAGACCAGACAGCACTCAGCTTCCTCACTCATGCCATTCCATCACTCCTTTTTATTTCCCCTCTCTTTCGCTGTTTCCACTCTCTAATTTATTCGCGCATCTCATTTTAACTTGCTGCGGGAGTTGTTGTGTGCGCGCGCGCGCTCGCCTGTATGTGTGTGTGGCGCTAAGGACCATCATCGCCCTCGTGAAAACGCTCAGCGCGCGGCGAGTGAGTGAGTGAGTGTGTACAAGTGTGTGAGTGTGTGTTGAGCGCGCGCGCCGGAGGTGTCAGAGAACGGCAACAAGAATTTCACGTCACTCTAGAGCGGCTATTACGGGCTGTGCGGCGGCCTTTTGCAACAACGCGCGTGTACCTCGCGGGTACCGCGGGCAGGGGTAAAGGGGGGGGGGGAGGGGCCCACACAGAGCGACTGACTGCAGGTGGCGGCGCGGGCGCTCGGGGCTGCGCATGACTGTAAATCTCAGGATGTAGGTGGCGTGGCAACCGAGGTGGCAACCCTATCGTGTGATACGAGAATGCAAGGTGCTCTTAAAATTAAATTTGAAAGGGCATCAAAAGCCTTTTCCTTTCGAATCAAACGAGTTTTTGGAAATTTTCAATTTAAAAGCATTGTTAAGAAGTTATTGCTAACTTATCAACAACTTGCGGCAAAAATCTCTGCAGCAAAACGGGCAAAATCTGCAACACAGTTTGCAACGCACACATTTGCTAAAACTTTCATCACAATCGGTTCCAATTTCTTTAGAGAAACGCAATAATAATGAAACAACTCAGTTGCTGTGAAATGCCGTTCATAGAATCCCTCATTTGTCAGACCGACAGCGATATGACTCGTCGCCTCCGAGAGCTGCTGCTCGCCCGCTGCACTGCCCCGTTATGGAGCCCTGCTCGCAACATGATTGCTCTATCGAGCCGCGTGGGAAAACACGTCCCGTCCTTGCCTCTCTGCAGAGTAGTGATCGTGACGATGGGCAGGCCCGGGCAGGGCTGCAGCGCGGCAGAGCAGGCAGAGCGAGGTGTCGAGTGCAGGCGGCTCAGTATGGAGGCGGCCCTGCACCTCCACCGCACTGCACTGCACTGCGATGCGCGGCCAAGCAGTGAAACCCACTGCACCGGCAGCAGCAGGGGGAAAGAAAGTCAAAGAAATAAATGGGCGCGGCAAAGACCTACCTACAAGGCCAGCCGGACCGGGCAGCGCCAGGCACCGGGCGGCATTTCTCTCAAATACTCACCTAGGCCTACTTAGCCACTCGGCTGCCGGGGCGGTCCGCGCGGCCGGGAGCACCCGACACTCTAGTCACACACCCGGACCGCTACGCAGTACAAATTTTTCGGTTTGTCACTTCCGGTTATTTAACGCTTGCCGCTTGCCTTTCCCCCCTTTCCCCGCGTGACGGTCGGTGACGGTTGCGCAGGCACCTCACGCAGTGTTAGCTGGACGCGGGGCTGGACGTGTGACTAGGTCTCTAGGGAAATGAGGCGCGTCGTTTTTGGCGTGCGAGGCCCAAGAAGTAATTACTGATGAAAAGGATGTTTTTGTCAACGATTATAACTTCTAATAATTATTCATAGGTGCAACTGTTAATTGAACGACGCCCTATTCACAAAACTCTTAATGCCCCCCTCCCCCCCGTTCTTTGAACAGTCAAGAGGAGGAAGTAGAAGAGAGGAACGCAGATGGAGAGGGCAGAGAGGAGGAAGCAGACAGGTGAGAATGCTCCCGCCCTCTGCTGTGCGTGTGGCTCGAAGGAGAGTGAAACCTGCTGTGCGACCCTGCACCGCACCTGGTCGGCTGCGTGTGTCAGAGAAAGAGAGGTGGAAAGAAATAGGGAGTGAGCGAGAGAGAGAGAGAGGCACGGGACATTTTGACAACCTGCGCTAAAGGTCTCTCTTCGCCTTGTCGGCGCGGGGAGGATCAGTTCCTGCTGTTGCGACGTTTCCGAAAGTGAAGCCTGCCAACGGCGTCAGCATGTCTTCTTTTCCACCGCGCACGCGTGTGTGTGTGCGTGTGTGCGTGTGTGTCGCTAGCTGACGTGTGCGTGACCGCGCGGGATCCGCCCCGTCGACAGTTAGGGGCGGAGCAATAGCGGCGGATCGGCCTCGAGCAAACGAGAGAAAATCCCCGAAAGCAAACCTAAAATTATATTGTTCTTCAGCGTCTTCGTCTCACAGATCAGAATAATTTTTGTCTTAAAAGTAAAACGTTTTCCATTTTGGAAACCACTAAAATTCCACTGCTTTTTCCGGCATGGGTTGTAAATAAAAACGAAATCAAGAGGGTGAGCAGGTAGGTAATTGGACCACTAGCGAGGTTTCTATCGGCGGGGCGTGGCGGGGCGTCCCAATTCGTTCGGTCCAGATTCCGCACCTTCGTATCGCACGGGGAGTCCCTCGCCGGCTGGCCTGCCCGCTGCCCAAGTCAGAGCGCTCTGTGCTGTGGTACGCCCCGC